ATTGATTTCATTTGAATTAGTGGGCTTTTTTTTTTTTTTTTTTTTAAAGAAAAACATGCTTCCTTTATGAGGACATTTACTTTTAAAAAATTCGGTTGCAAAGATCTTGCTAGACATTCTATTTATGCACCAAAAGAAAAAAAAAAAGGCAGAGCCCCAGAAACGTTATGTGAGTACATTTTTCATTTTCTGAAAATACTAGGATTCCAAAGGTTAGGACAGAATTGCTTGTGAATAAATTCAAGTAGTCAAAAATTGTCCAGAGCTTTATAATAAAGACATCCCGTCCATTAAAAAAGCTAATGATGTTACCAAAAATATATATATTCTCTGAAAGAGCTTTTTAACTAGTTGAATCATCAATTTCAGGGTACTTAATTTTTGTTTCCTTATAAAATAATATTAAATTTGCTCCTCTGATGTTAGGCCTTTCTTTTAATTTATGTTCAAATCCCAAAGTACAAAGGCCAGGTTATTTTAAACCTGAAATTTAAACATTAAATAGCATTATAACTTGTATTTCAATAAATAATGGACTTGTCTACCACAAAAGAGTTAGTTTTTATCTCTGTTGAACATTTATAGACGTGGGCACTTGGAACAGGAAATCACCACTGCAATGACAATAAACACATGTGCTTACCACTCGGCTTTTTGTACAATTTGTACTGACTCTTAGATAAGGTAAAGTAAAAACATGGCTGGAGGCTGAGGCAGGAGAACTGCTTGAACCTGGGAGGCAGACGTTGCAGTTAGCCTCCCAGGTTCACATCATGCCCCTGCATTCCAACCTGGGCAACAAGAGCCAAACTCCGTCTCAAAAGAAAACCAAAAAAAACAAACAAAAAAAGCATGGTTGGGCATGGTGGCTCAGCCTGTAATCCCAGCACTTTGGAAAGCCGAAGTGGGCAGATCACCTCAGGTGAGGAGTTCAAGATCAGCCTGGTCAACACGGCGAAACCCCATCTCTACTAAAAACACAAAAATAAGCTGAGCGTGGTGGCAGACAACTGTAGTCCCAGCTACTTGGGAGGCTAAGGCAGGAGAACCACTTGAACCTGGGAGGCAGAGACTGCATTGAGCCGAGACTGCACCACTGCACTCCAGCCTGGGCAACAGAGCAAGACTTGGTCTCTAAATAAATAAATAAATAAACAATAAAAAAAATCACATGACTATTTATCTCAAACTCCAAATGAACACAGTCCTTGATTCAAATAAAAAAATATATACACCCGAATGTTCATTAGGTTCAAGAGCTCTGTTTTGTTGCACTGAAGGAAATTTCATAGAAGATGAAGGGAATGATGAGAACAAGGGCCACGGCCTCCCATTTTGCATAAACACACCATGAGAAGAAAGGGATCCTTAATGAGTGCCTGCTGTGAGGGGTACAGGAAGGAAAAAGTCAACAGGAAAGGAAGGAGAACCAGAATATTCTGCTCTGCAGGCATTCTGAATCATGGAAGCTTTATTTTAATCAAAATATACTGAAGTGTAAACCCCTGAGGGGCATGAACTTTGTTGTTCTAGTCTGTGTCCCCAGTACTGCAAACGGGGTCTGGTACAAAACACATCCTTAAAGTCTGATTAACTATTGGTGATGGAATGAATGACCAAAATCAGTAAGTCTCCACAGTCTTTTAGAAGAGAATCAGAAACCACGGCTTTTCATGAACACCTTCACCAGAATTATTTTTGCATATGGGGCTCTTACTGCTTCTTCTCTTCTCTAAAAAGCTATTATTAATTTGTAGAAAGTTTGCTCCTCCTAAAAAAAGACTCTTAAGCACCCTACAAACTTGGTTGAACACTAACAAGATGTTCAAGGATTATTTCAAAGAGTTGCGATCTATCAGCAATGAAGCACATTCTATTCTTAGCATATTGAAAAGGAGTATGGAAAATCAGAAACAGAAAAGTTGCTAAAAACAGTGCCTCTGTTAAGAGACTAGGAGAGGCTCCAGTAGACTTCATGAGCCCCAGTTCTGGGGATGATCAGACAAAGGGGGTTTTGGGAGTTGTGAGGAGGAGCGGAGAGAGGGGCTGGCAGTGTGAGGGGCTGTTTTGGTGTTGCCGGGCCAGGGAACAAGGTGGACAGGGCTGGGCATCCAGTCCCGAGGTCATGAAGTAACAGTGGGTGGGTCTCAGGGCACAGCACCTTGTTATGAGGGGTCAGAGAACTGCTCAAATGTGGGACACTGAGGATTCTCCAAGTTAGCTGGTCACAGTGCACCTAAGGCCCTCTCTCAAGAATCCAGGTGGCCCTGCGCCTCCAGGCCTGTGATGGAATCGAGAGGCACAATGCAATCACTCTGTCAGAAGTCTAAAAGCAATGAGTGGGAATGGAAAATAGCAGCAATTCCAAATGATGGAAAGGGTGTTTTAAACTCCCTGTTTTACATTGCCGAGGAAAACTGTGATGATCCCTAAATCAAAGCCTGCCAGAGCAGGTGGACACCATGAGGGGACAGGAAGGACGCAAAATGCACGACCGACAATCACTTTCAGGGTCAGGACACCAAAGCCTGGATGAGCATAAGATGCAAACTACTGTGGTTTTGTATCTTCCAAAGACCAAGCTGTCGGTGCCTGCAAAGGCCCACAGAACCAGTCTGGAGGCAACTCCATCGGCTCCATTTTAATCGATGCTTTCCTTTTCCTAAAGAGGGTCCATGTTAACAAACAGATCGCATGAAGATGAGGCAGCTTGTAGAAAAGAGGTCAATAGAAAGCAGCCTTCAAAGCCTTCCCAATCCACCCATTTGTCTTTTAATTGCCCCAAGTAACTTCAACCAAGTCAAAATCCAGTTATCTTTTTTTTTTTTTGAGACAGAGTTTCATTCTTGTTACCCGGGCTGGAGTGCAATGGCGCGATCTCGGCTCACCGCAACCTCCGCCTCCTGAGTTCAGGCAATTCTCCTGCCTCAGCCTCCTGAGTAGCTGGGATTACAGGCACACGCCGCCATGCCCAGCTAATTTTTTGTATTTTTAGTAGAGACAGGGTTTCACCATGTTGACCAGGATGGTCTTGATCTCTTGACCGTGTGATCCACCTGCCAAGGCCTCCCAAAGTGCTGGGATTACAGGCTTGAGCCACCGCGCCCGGCCCAAAATCCAGTTATCTTAAAAATGTTTCTACGGAAGCCACATCTACCACTGCTATCAGTTTGCAAATGCAAAAATGCCCAGGTTCACATTCTCAAAAACACTTACAAACTTAATATTAAAGGCCTCATAATTGCTTTCCAATTTTAAAATAAACATTGTAAATGCAAAAAGAATGTTACTGGACAAAAAAGAAAGGTCATGTTAGTACTAATAGTTAATATATTTTGTCAGTATTGAAATATACTTTGCCTATTTCTCATAAGTCAAAGTGTTAACTAATTGAACAACCATCACACATTTAAGCACCTTTATCATTGGTATTAGTTTCCAAAAGCTTTATAAAAAAGTGTATTTTGCACGGTTACTTGGAAATAATTTTATAATTTACAAATATATCAAAAACATATATATGTAATATATAAACATTAATATACAAATTTGTGAATTAAAACAGAGAAAAGGTTAGTAAGTTTCCAGAAAAAGAATATAAAATGTCTAGCTTTTTCACTTTTCTGTGAGAATACTCTATTAAAGGAGTTCAATAAATGTATCTGTTCACTTGATGGAAGAATGTTTAGTATCAGGATAGATTTTTCATTATCTCACAAGAGCAATCTTTAGAAGTAGTGACAGGTTCTATCATATCTCCTAAATGATGTCCCCCATACTTTAAATCTATCAACGTTTAGTGCTTTCCTCAAAAATCACTCTGATGTCTTTGAAATCCATTCAGAATAGGGAGTAGTGACTTTAAGGGAGGCTATGCTAAAGCCAATGAAACGGTACTGTAAGAAGCTTTAGAGTTATCTCTGAGAAAAGCCACAACCCCTAATTTTAAATTTTCTTCAGGAAAAACATGACTTCTCACAAAACTGTTATCATCGGTATCTGTAAATTCAGATTTAAGTACCAACTTTTGAAAAGGAAGAACCATGATCTGTAGTGCACGTTAACAGTGACGTAGTGAAGGGAACTCTCCCTCCCAGTCCCATCACCAATTCACTGTCTCATGAAGAGCCACACAATGGTACTGAATTGATTATCGGCCTGGCGATGCAACCTTGCCAGATCTCTGGCAGCTGTGTGTCTCTTGGGAGTTTTACAGTTATCACAGATGGGGAGACTCCCACCCTAGGTGAAGAGACTGAAGTGTATTATTGCTAAGTTACAGGAAGAAAAGTTACCACCACTATTCTCAATACTTGAAGCTGTTCTACTCAGCTGTCCCCAAACTCTCTAATGTATCAGAAAACCAATGAGCTTTGGGAAGAAGCGGTGGTTTTATCTAGGCAGGATAAAGTAGTAATAATAAAAGGGGGTGGGTGTGGTTCAGTGTAACCATGCCCTGAGTGGGCATTGGCACAAACTGGGGCCACTGGAGTCACCTTTCTGCTGTGCCTTAGTGCAGTTGCAGGTGCTCCAAGACATGGCCTGAGCCTGGGTTCAGTCTGGGCAGGATGGGATGGAGGAGGGACCGTGTACGAAAAATCTCCCTGGCTCTTCCCAAGCCACTTTTGGAAGCGATGGAGGAACAGCTGGGCAATAAGTACCTGGAACATCAAAACAGGACAGGCTGTCCTGAAATCGTTTGCAATCCTACAATGTTACAGTAAACAAACTAGCAAAAATCAATCCTGCTGCTGCTTCTGCTCTTGGTCTCAGCACACAATAGGATAGGCCAGTGTGAACAGCAACGTCAGAGCTTTGCATTATGGAAAAAGCGACGGTACAGACATACACCTCTAAAGAGAGTTTACGCATCCTCTGGCCCACATCCCCTCAGAGTGATACACTCACATACATAGATTCCTTCCCATAGCCTAAGACACTGCTCAACAGGACAAAAACATGAAGAAGGTGGAAAATAAGGGGGCGAATGGAATGCTTACTTTCTCTAAATGCTTTACAGTAGCCAAGGAAAGATAACAAGAAGAACAGGGCACACAGGAGGTCTGCACGGCCGACAACACCAGCAACCTTAAAAGAGGGGAAGAAAACAAAGAATTACATCAAACACATTGAAGCAAATCCTAAACTTAGGAGATAACAACAATTTTGTTTTTTGAGACAGGGTCTTGCTCTGCAACCCAGGCTGGAGTGCAATGGTGTGATCTTGGCTCACTGCAGCCTCAAACCCCCTAGGCTCAAGCAATGCTCCCATCTCAGCCTCCTGAGTAGCTGGGAGCACAGGCGCACACCTTCATACCTGGTTAATGTTTGTATTCTTTGTAGCGATGGGGTTTCATCATGTTGCCCAGGCTGGTCTTAAACACCTGGGCTCAAGCGAACCACCCACCTCTGCCTCTCAAAGTGCCAGGATTACAGGCATGAGCCACCATGCCTGGCCAAAACCAAAATTCTTTAGTCATATAAAACAAGAAGCAAATAAATACAGCATGGAGCTGTGCGATAGCACTTGGTGTTATCTTACAATCGGTTCTCTTCTCCCTTTTGGGCACAGGACTTGATTTAACTGCCTCAAGAGAACACTAAATTGGTTTGAACCTGCTGCTAGCTATTCTGCTGGACACAGACGGTGATAGGCGTGTGTCGTAAAAGCTGTGTTCTTTAACACGCAATACCCAAGAGCTCCAAAGACCTAGTCTTCCGAGGTCGCAAAGTGGATTTTCAATTGGAAAATGTTATCAGCTCAAAGGGTATGATATTTAAAAAATAAAATGTGATTGGAAACATGAAGGACATAAAGGTGTGAAAGAAGTGTGAAAAGCCATCCTGCCGATAGAGGAAAGACACAGGAGTAATCTTTCGAAGCCGCCTCTGCACTTTTACTTCCCTTCAGACCAAAACTGATTAAGTGGGTTAACCTGGAAAGTGAAATGCTTCAAGAATGATTAACAAGTAGGATGAGAACAGAATACGATTTCTGCCATTTCTTTCCCACACTGTCCACAGGATGACTCTGCCATTCCCTTCCTTTCCTCAGTGAGAATGAAGCAGTATCAACTTTGTGTTTCTTTCTTTCGGGCAGTTTTACGGGGATGAAAGACACAGAATTCCAACCAGGAGTACTGGACTAGTATAGCTGGGATTCTTTACTAACTGGCACCTGAACGTGACATGGACTCAAGCTTCTGCTGTGATTGTACCACTGTCACTTTAAAGGCTGGTAGGTTAATCCCTTCCCAAAGGGGACATGTGAGCACAGAATAAAGGACTGTTCTGCAACTCAAGATAAGAAAACACACAATGAAATTACTATATTTACATATAATGCTCAAGTTCATGTGCAGTCAATAGCTAAAACAGAATGTCTTTCAGGAGCAGATTTCCCTACACTGGTTATATATGAAATGCCAAGGACCATTTGTCACTTTAACTGTGACCTCCTGATGGTGGCCACGTGGCAGCCCATGGTGTCAGGTGATGGCTGGGAAGACTGAATAAGCAGATAAATCCACCCAATGAATACCATACACACAAAAACACTACCGAGAAGGAGGCTAGGGACAAAACAAAGGCTTAACAGCTCTGGAACAAGTATGCCAGTATGCTGGAGGGGAACAACCCAATTACTTTATGAATGAAATGAATAAGCAATGAGAGCTCTGGAATACTCAGGGTTGGAAACTCACTCAATCAGGGACACAGTAAAACACTCAGATATGCAGCCACCCAGAACAGAGCCTGGCACAGGTGCGGCTCACTGTTAGTTCTCCTGGTGGGTTCTATGGGGTGTGTCTGTGAACAGGAGTAGCAGAAAGGAAAAGGACAAAGGACACAGAAGCCTAGGCATTATCTCTGCAGCCAGCCCTGAGGGAATGAGGAGGCAGCTGAAGCATCCTGGCTGTCTGGTTCCTCATACCAGGAGGACACGAGAGGAGACAGGAGCATCCTAGCGCTGTAGCTATCTACAGCACCTCAGGACGGACTGGAATCCCAACCCCTTAGGGAAGAGAAAGCAATGAATGCCAACTCAGACAAGCCTGTCCGAAAGGGACCACAGAGAACAGGGTCACGGGAAGCAGGGGGACGGAGGTCAGAGACCAAGGGGAAGAGAGGTGAGTGACGGGGAAGGAAGCAGTTTTAACAATACTGGAGCTAGGAGCCAGGAGAGCCAGGCTGCCTAAACCACTTGCTATCTGGATAGCTAGAATCACCAAAAATGAAATTTAAACATCAAAAATGTATTTTTACAGAAATGTTTCTCTTTTTGCTAAGTGTTGAAGACAGTCCCAAGACTGTAAGCAACGTACATTATGTTCCTTGACGTAAAAAAACCCAAAAATTTTAAAGTATGGAAAGTGTTTTAAAGCAAAAGAACATTTAGTATTTACCATGAATTTCTGGCATAGTAATTAAGAGAGATTTCACTGAAAGAATATTAAAACACTACCTGAGGAGGTATGCATCCAATCACTGCTTGAGAATGTACATAAGGAACAAAACATTTTATTTTCCTCTTCTGATATCTGCATAATATGTATTTTGAGGCAAACTTTTCTACAAAGACTATTTTTTTCTCACAAATAATGTAAAACACTCCGAGTTTTCTGTAGAAATCACTGCAATTCCCCCTGAATCCATAAAGCAGGTGGCATCATTGCTTCCCCAGTAGGTACAGTTTGCATGGGGGCCGTAACAAGAAATTAAGGAGATGGGGAAGGTTTCCACACCTAATTCCCTTTGGATTAAAGTCTGGGTTCATTAGACAGAACTCTTTTTAAACATTTTGTTTAATTTTTTACTTTTAGAGACAGGGTCTTGCTCTGTTTCCCAGTCTGGAGTGCACTGGCGTGATCACAGCTTACTGTAGCCTCAAACTCCCGGGCTCAAGTGGTCCTCCCGCCTCAGCCTCCCAAGTAGCTGGGACTACAGGAGCACACCACCACACGGGGATACAGGCAGAACTCTTAAGGGGGTCTGAGCTTCTCTCTTTGATGCAGGAATTCAGGCAATGTGAAATCTTCCCCGACACTGAGGAAAACAAAAAGCAAAACCCACACAAGCCACGTCTGCCCTGAGGGAAGCGCTGGGGTCCTCCTGCTGATGGCCACACAGAGCTGAAGAGCTGTCAGCAGACCAGTGGCCATGTGGCCCTCCCAGGCTCTCCTCCCTGCAGTGGGGACTGGTCTGTCAGAGGCTTTGGGTGTCTACAAACCACTCAGAGCAATGTGGGGTGGCTCGTTAGAAAAAGAGAGACATTCCCATCAGCTGAGGAGCACAAAACACCAATTGCAATTACAGCGTCACCAAGCAGAGACCAGGAAGGGTAAAGACTGGGTGTGGCCAAGTCAACCCCATTTGCCCCGGCTGTCCTGGCTTTAAAATGGAAAGTCCCCAGACCCAGAACCCTCTCAATCCCAGGCACACTAGATGGCTGACCTCCCTAGAAGACTGGAAAATTCAGGTGCTTATTTGCAGTGGGCAAAATTGTTTCCAGTGTTAAATGCTGGAGAGTGGTAAAGACATGTAACATATTAACATAAAAGTTAATATAAAGAAATTCATGTCAGGTCAGGTGCAATGGCTCACGCCTGTAATCCCAGCACTTTGGGAGGCCAAGGTGGGCGGATCACTTGGGGCCAAGAGTTCGATACCAGCCTGGCCATCATGGTGAAACCCCGTTACTACTAAAAAAACAAAAATTAGCTGGATGTGGTGACACATGCCTGTAGTCTCAACTACTTGGGAGGCTGAGGCAGGAGAATCACTTGAACCCGGGAGGTAGAGGTTGCAGTGAGCAGAGACTGAGCCACTGCACTCCAGCCTGGTCAACAAGGCAAAACTCTGTCTCAAAAAAAAAAAAAGAAATTCATGTCACTAAAACATGCAGGGGCCTATACTGCTATGACTTTCTCTTAATAAATGTACAATGAGGCAAACGTGGCAAACTGAGGCAGTTCACTAACCAAATCCCCATTTCCTCATCCCACAGGGATCAGCATGGCTGGGGATGCTGTGGTCAAGGCCATCATCCAGGCTGCTGGCCCCACCGGCCAGAAAGCGCGGCTGGCTTCTGGGTGCTGGACACCTGGAGGAGCTTGCCTGCCACCCATTTCCTTGGGTGTCCCACTCTGCATGTTTTTAAAGCTGGAAGTTATTTTTTCTTTTTTTTGAGACAGAGTCTCACTCTGTCACTGAGGCTGGAGTTCAGTGGCATGATCTTGGCTCACTGCAGCCTCTGCCTCCTGAGTTCAAACCATTCTCCTGCTTCAACCTCCTGAGTAGCTAGGACTACAGGCGTGTATCACCATGCCCAGCTAATTTTTGTAGTTTTAGTAGAGACGGGGTTTTACCATGTTGGTCAGGCTGGAGCTACTGACCTCAAGTGATCTGCCTGCCTCGGCCTCCCAAAGTGCTGGGATTACAGACGTGAGCCACCATGTTCCACCTAACACTGGAATTTTTAACTGCAGGGTGGGAGATTACAGGGAAATGCAGACAGAAGGAAACTGAATATTACCTGCAGCAACAAGGAAAGATAAACATACAAAATATCTGCTTACAATGCTAACTTTTAATTCTCCATAAGTATTTCCTGAAATCTGAGTTTGAATGGATGTTATGGTGGGAAGGGGAAGAGATAAAGAGGTTTTTCAAATAGTCCCTTTTCTCCTAGAGCCAGCCTGCCTCCATTTCCTTTTAACAGTCTGGAATGTGGACTTTTAAGATGACCGTGTTCCCAGGTTGCATTTATCTGGAATGTGTGTGAGTGTATGTGAATGTGCGTGTGAGAGAGAGAATGTGTGCGTATGTGAGTGTGTACATGTGCAAGCACATCCAGTTATACTTGTTGGCACTTGAAACCTTTTCATAAATCAACTTCTGAATATTTAAAATGAGAATTTTAGAAAACTCTCCTTGGCTAATAATTCAAATATTTCATTTTGCTTTCAAGATCATGCTAAATTAGATGAGATGGAAAACAGAATCAGTACTTTTCCAGTGAATCTCTATCTTCCATAGATTTAGGATCAATGCCTGCACTATTTCTGGGTCCCAGAGAGAACTCAGATTGAAACAAAATCTAATTCAGTCACAGTTATGTATAAACAAAACGCTTATAACTAAATTTTCACACAGCCGTCCCCAGCCTATCCAGCCCTTAACGTCCTCTGAATTTGGTGAGGTAAAAAATAAAATAAAATTTAAAAAGATATTAGAGGAGGGGGTGATAACAACTCCATAACACTCTTGATTCCAAAGAATAGACAATTTAATAAAGTCAGTGCTAAAAAGAGGACTTCTGCTCAACATCTTGAAACTTCAAGAAGCAAAATGCAATTGGTTAAATGTAGATATTTCAGTCCGTATGAAATGAGAAGGCTACTGTGAGAGAATAAAGGTATGTGTGATATTTTATACTAGGCACTTCATGCTCACAGAATGAGTGACTCGAATCAAATCTTTTAGCTCAGCAAACATGCTCCCTTGCATTTTGAAAGAGTCATGTGGTGGTGCAGCGGGTAGATCCTGAAAACTTCACAAATGTCTCGCAATCCCAGTACAGTCTGTTCCAAATACACACAGAGGCAGCTTGATGGGATGGAGACCTAGCCTCCGGGAGGCCAGGTGGGGCACCCGTCGGAGCTGCCTGATCACCGTGGGGAGAGGATCACACAGGGTGAGCAGGAGGAGGAGGTGGAGGAGGGTGGAGAGACTCCACGAGCAGCTCCCCAGCAGGGCGTGGGCACTGCTTTCCAGTTCAACTCCAACTACGGCAGCATCTCCTCAGTGGAGGCCTGCTTCCCAGGATTTAAGTCCTACCCCACATCCACTTGCTCCTCACCCTATATAAATTTTTATCCTCCCAGGCCGTTCCCTCATCTCTGAAGTGGACACTGTTACATTAGCCCAGCTGGTGTCATAGCGTTTTCATAACAATTATTTTAAGTCTAAGAAAGGATTTTATAAATCATAAAGCTGTCAGCGAACACGGAAACACTGCATCAACCCTCCACTGAAGAACGGTTCTTAGCCTCTGAACTTCAGACTCCAAAGCCAGGTAATATTCAACATCCGTGCCTTCACAGCTGGTGTGATCCTGGAAGCTGAACAGGAGGTATCAGCAGAGAGCACACCATCCCTTATCACACAGTCTCCACCAATATGGTGCTCTGCATTTTTCCACAACAGAGATGTCTCTGTCCCAGAGAGAACTGTTGCAAATGTCTGACCAGGTATTTATGTAGTGTTCTTTCTATTTCTAGAGTATACTATAGTGTAGACTTTCTCTAGCTCTTGAACCAAGATGAGTACATAAAAGGAGCCTGTTTTAGGAAACCAGGCGACACAGGAATGTCCTATCGCTTCTCCTGTGCAGACAGATGCCTCAGGCAGACGATACTTACACATTCGGTGTGCACAGGATGGACAGCAAACAGCAGTGCAGCCAGCAGGGACGCCCTGGGGGCGAGGTGTAGCCTCCGGCCTTTACTGGTGTACTGTAGGCCACCAAACAGAACCGAGAAGACGTCCACCATGAGGACAGAGATGCCACCATGAAGGAGGATGTTGACCACGTGAAAGCCCATGGGGTAGAAGCCTCCCGACAGGTAGTAGTTAATCCTGCAGAAACACAGGGTGTTCAGGGTAGATGTGCGGCAAGAAATGGCAACGGTCTGGAGGAAAAGGCTTTTGCGTGGAAATATGAAAAGGAGAAGCGGAAGACGTTGTGCCAGCCTGATAAAAATAGCACCAAGATAAATAATGCCTGTCGAGCTAAGAAGTTTGCAGAAAAGGTGGGAATGTAATTAACTACAGGGAAAAATGGAGGAAATGGAGGTGTCCAAGGGGAGTGGCACTGAAAACAACTTGCAGAGGAAAACTGAAAGGAAAGCTAGACGACTTTTTAAGTGCAGAAAGGGCAACGCTGCATTCCAAGAAGATCTAATATTCCACACATTAGTCATGGCTACCCGCTAAGGACCTGGGTTTAAGATAGTCTTGTAACTTGATTATCCTCCAAAAAAGGGCTCCTTATCAGTATGCCCACCAGCCTTCCCCCAGCAAAACACCCTCACGCTAGCAGGGATTCCTATTCCGACTGCTTCTCAGCCGCCGGTGGTTCCAATTCATCAGTCCCATGCTTCTGTGGGACGTCTAAACACAAATGTTTAAATGCACCCAAGCAGCAGGTATGGACAAGAACCTTTGTGAGGTGAACACATCCATTCAGTGCAAGGGGCTCTCTGATTAACGAAGGGGAATTGTTTTTAAGCTGCATCTTGCTTCTGAGTATTGACTTGCTAACAGTAGAATGATTTATATCTTATTTATTTCTGTAGTGAAAAAAAATCCGTTTCATCAGAGGCCCCATGCTGCTTTCACTCATATCATTCCATTGGTGTTAAGCAGCAAAAGGTCAAACCTCCAAAAAGTGAGAAAAATATGAAACACCACCAACTTGCAGGTCATCCTTCACAGAGGTCACGTTCGTCTTCTCTGCACCTAGAGACCCACGTATGCGAGCAGCTCAGACCCGCCAGGAGCTACTGACTGGAATCCTCAATGCTGAGAACCCAGTGACACATACCCGAGTTCAAATATCACACAGGAGCCGGGAGTGACCCTCCCAGGCCCATCGATGTCACGGCTTACCTGAAAGTCAGGACAGTGAGAGGTCGGTAGGACTTGTGGCTGGTGTTGCTGCTCAGTCGACTGCCCCAGAAGTCATGGTGCCACAGGTCGCCGAGGGGTGTTTCTGCTTGGAGGTCCTGCGGGGACACAAAGGGGTGTTCTGGACAAGGGTCTCCAGCTAGCCCTGGGCCAAGCTCCTCCAACTCTGACCCGGGATGCAGTCAGGCCTGCTCGTGGGGCTGCTGCACCCAACATGTTCTCTATGTTGATCGTCTCGAGGTACAAATGGGCTCACCCCACCGGGCTTGAAACACCAAACAGCTCTCACCCTTCTGGGACACAGTCGATACACTGAAGGGGCTGTCGTAGACCCTGGCTTCCCCCAAACTCTGCAGGCCCATGGCTCTGGCATTGTGCTCCCACCAGCTCCAAACCCAGAGGCTCTGCATGTGCGGGTCTCCCCTGGACGGTCACCCTCAACTCATCACAGCTCAACTCCTCCCGCTGTTCATCTCCCAGCTGCCCAGCTCTGCCCTTCCTGAGCTGATCCATTCCTCTTCCCTGGGTCTCTGGGCATCTCACCCTGTCAAGCAATGTGTGGCACCCTGGCAACTTAGTTTCACATGACTACTGTTTGTGCCACTAGACTGGGCTGAGGAGGACTGGGCTACATCTGGGTTTGCTGGCTGTGTACAGAAGGTGTTTAATACATGTCAAATAAGTGGACCACACAGCTAAATAAGATCACTATTAACCTTTCATATCTAATAAATAAGGTAACTTACCAAAATGTCCCAGTTAAAACATAAGTATGAATAAACATATTTTTTTAAGTTTCCGTTTTTGAACATGAGCTAAGCAGGCTGTGAAATCAGGAAAAAAAAACCTTAACAGATTAAAAAACCACTAAGTATTAAAGAAAACTGTACCTCTTACTGCTGGGGTAGTTTAATTTGGTACTCCACTACAGATGCTTAAAAATGCATTTTTTTTTTTTTTACATTTAAAAGATGAAAGTAGATGGCTTAAACTGTGTCTAATGAGAAGACAGGCAAACAAGGCACCATGGAGTAAGTTAAGAAAAATGACAGATCGACTTTCTCTTTAAAGCATAATTAAACGGGAACATTTTAGGGACAAGAATTACAACATGCTGATCATTTCCCCGTGTTGTCAGTCAAATTTCTTCATTGCAGTAACCAAATTCTGATTAATTTACACAAAAAGGGAATTCTTCAAAGGGGAGTGTGCAGCTCATGGATCCCATGTGGCCTGGAAAGCCAGGGCAGGGCCGAGGCAGGGGCAGCCCCATAAATCAAGCCCTGGGCCGAGATTGCCTGGCTGCCTCTGGGCCCCCAACTCTTTGTGTGACCAGCTGCGGACTCCAACAGGTGGGCGCACCTGACAGGACAGCCCCTGTCTGTGCCAGCTCCCTAATCAAGTGGTCTTCTGAGCCTCAAACACAAACGGGTCAAATGATGGGTGGCCCCCAAAAGCAACAAAGGACCACACCCATCATGCAGTTCAGCGCTTGTGACTTAAGTGCTTGCTGGCTCAAAGGGAAAGGCTTGAAAAGAGGCCAGAGACGCAAAGCTGGTCACTCATGCCCACTGTAAGGGTGACATCTGCTTCCATAGGGATGGGCTTCAGAAGCCAGGAGCGCACTGACTATACCCCAAGAGTGGGTGAGAGATTCTGTGAAGGTCATGTGAGTCACCTGCTCCCTTGGTTGACTCACTGGCAAGCCTGGAAAGCCCACCTTCTCCTACACTCTTACAGAAGTGCTTGGTCAGTTGAGAAGGGCTTGGGCAGAGGATCTTTCCCTCTCTTTGAACAGGAAATGAACACCAACATGGCTCTAAATATTTGATTAGGTGGAGCCTACACACAGCAGGTATGCTACAGGAAGAAAGGTCAATTCTTCCTCATCATGATTTATGGAAAAGATGTATTGTGTCTGAAATTCCCCCTAACTCCACTGTTTCAAAGAAGATCATCATCTCAAGGAACAAAAAAAGGCAACTCCACACTGCAAGGAAGCATCTGGAAAACAGTCTCTAACATCACTAAAATCCAGTAACAGCCTGTTTCACATTACTGTAGGCACGGTGCCAACGAACAGAGGAGTGCCTTTCATTAACCAGGAGAAGAAAAAAGGAGGGCTAGCAAGTTAACAAAAGGGGCACAGTGTGATGCTCCCGAAAACACTGCCAAGACCATGCTCAGCAGAGCTACGAAATGGCTTCATCTGCCTCACCTCACAGAAGGAACAAGAATTACACCCAGACAGCAGGGCCTCCACACACAGCCCAGCTCATGTTTTTGTTCTGCCTGGCTGACCAACATTTTTCAACATGGTTTCTGAATTAACACTTTACATGTCTTCTGCTTTCTACAAGTAGAAGAGTCAAGATATTCTCACCAAAATGAGTAATGGAATTTAAACAATAAAACTCTATCTTTGTGAGAAAAGCAGTTCTGTGGCCATTAAGGCACCAATTTGTGCTGGGCAAGGTGGCTTGGGCTTGTCATTCCAGCACTTTGGGAGGCCAAGGTGGGAGGATCGTTTCAGGATAGGAGTTTGAGATCAGCCCGGGCAACATAGCGAGACAGTCTCTACTAAAAATTTGAAAAATCAGCTGGGTGTGGTGGTGCATGACTGTAATCCTAGCTACTTGGGAGGCTAAGATGCGAGGATGGCTCAAGCCTAGGCATTGGAGGCTGCAGTGAGCTGTGATCACACCACTGTACTCCAGCCTGCGCAACAGAGTAAGACCTTGTCCCTACCCCATGAAAAAGCCACCAATTTGATATAATTGTGTCAAGTTACTTAGTTCTCTTAAGCATGATTTAAGAAAGCACTGAAATAGAATCATCTACAGTAACTACCGAGTGAACTTAAAGAAAATTACAAATGAAAAACTTGAATTAAAAATAAACATTGGCTGGGTGCGGTGGCTCATGCCTGTAATCCCAGCACTTCTGGAGGCTAAAGTGGGTAGATCATCTGAGGTCAGGAGTTCAAGACCAGCCTGGCCAACATGGTGAAACCTCGTCTCTACTAAAAACAAAAATATTAGCCAGGCGTGGCATGCCTGTAGTCCCAGCTATTTGGGAGGCTGAGCCAGCAGAATCGCTTGAACCCCAGAGGCGGAGGTTGTAGTGAGCCAAGATCATAACACTGTACTCCAGCCTGGGTGACAGAGTGAGACTCTGTCTCATTAATCACCACCACAACAAAAAAATCCATTAAAACATTAACAATACTCTAGGTTGTTCCATCAAAATGGAGATCAATTGCAATATTATGTTACAAATAAAATAAATGCAAATGAATCATGTTCCCCCCCATACAATCCATGTTTGTCACATAAAGAGTTCTTCACAACATTTTCAGCATGAAAATGACTTTACACTTATTTGGTAGAAACCATGACTTCATATTTTTAAGAGCATTCAACGGCGTTACAGAGAGTTGCTATAATTACATCAAGTAGCGAGCTAAATGTGTATATTCCTCCAAGTCTTCTTCACGGGCTAAGGAATACACATAAAATGTCTTCTGAGTAACAGACCGTCGAGAGGCTCTAACCAGTGCCATTTTCAAGTTGTTTCTCCTCTGGGCCTTGCCTGCCTCTGCATTTCTTGCTCTGGTTTTTAGCCTGCTTGAATCTTTTTCATCTTTTCCCACAAAGCTGTTTCTTCTGCCCTAACTCTGGGTAGGGAGTGGAAAAAGATTACCATTTTCCCCGCACTGACATATAGCAACCACTGGTAAGCAAAATCGACTGGGATTTTGCACATTCAGCAAAACTGAATCTCCAAACACGAAACAAGCAGGAACTGCAGCGCCCATGGGCAGCACGTTCCTCCTGCCCCAGCAGCTGTCAGCAGGCTGTCCTGACAGTCTCAGAGGAGGACAAAGTGGCAGCCAATTCCCTGCCTGCTGCTGAAGATGTGCCTTCTGGCAGGTGATCAGACCAGTCCATCACTGCAGCAAATGTGTGACGGGTTTTTTTTTTTTTTTGAATGACTGTGGAAATGTTTCACAAAACCTGAAATACTCACTCTGCAATGCCCTGCAATACCCTTGCCTTGTAATCTTAGAAGAACGGCCTCTTTGATCCACATGTGGACTGGGGCTCTTGAGGGGAAAGCCTCAGCTCAGGGAGGGGTTCAGAACCTTGGTGCCAGCAATAAGAAAGGCACTAAATCAAGGAGGCGATGTTGAAAAGAGACACAATAATTGAGAGCACGACTGGGGCCCAGACCAATGCCTAACCTACGTTCCACAGAGAACAATGCAACACAAACTTAGATGATTACTGAGACACAGGTGAGCAGTTAAGTTGACCAGAAAAGAGCTGAGATACAAACCTTATTGTTAACAATAGCTTCTGAATCATCAAAGACAAAGTCTCCATCATAGCTCCGTGCAAAACACACAATGGCCACCAATCCCACTACTAACTTAGCCCAGAAAGGAGGAAGAACAGGAGAGGGAAGGATGTGATCCAAATCGGCATCCAACTCGGCCATTCTGAAAACTGCAGGCTGGTGGCCTCCGGCTCCAGCATTATGCTGGTTAGGAATCTGCAGGAAAAACAACATCATATAAATATTCATCAACATTGGTAGGACGGTTTCTGCAGTGAGCACCATGAATAAGAGCTGGATAGTTACTTACACTGTTTGTTTGTTTTTTTTTTGAGATGGAGTCTCACTCTGTCACCCAGTCTGGAGTGCAGTGGCACAATTTCAGCTCGTTGCAACCTCTGCCTCCCGGGTTCAAGCGATTCTCCTGCCTTAGCCTCCCGAGTAACTGGGATTACAGGTGCTCACCACCATGCCCAGCTAATTTTTTGTATTTTTAGTAGAGATGGGGTTTCACCATGTTGGCTAGGCTGGTCTCAAACTCCTGACTTCATGATTTGCCTGCCTTGGCTTCCCATAGTGCTAGAATTACAGGTGTGAGCCACAGCGCCTGGCAGCTATGCTATGATTTTATAGGATTTGATCATTAACAATTTGAAGTTGTGCTTTCCAAACTTTAGTGGGCAGAAAAGTCACATGGGATGCATGCAGATTCCTAGGCCGACCACAGGACCTATCAAATCAGATGCCCTTCGGTTTCTGATGCTGGAGTACCCTTTAGAAACATGAATTTAATGGAATCCTCATCAACCCCACAAGGCAAATCATTTTTAATCGCCCTTGAACCAGTTTACAATGCTTAAAAAAAAGAAGTTACCATCTTACTTCATCCAATCAAGAAAAATCAATAAACAGTCATTGCTGGGTTTTAGCACACTGTGTGTGTGGCAGGGGAGAGGGCAGTGTGTAAAACACAATCCTGCTTCTGAAAAAGCTTATGGTCTATTTGAAGCATTCAGGCACACAGGCCAGGGAGCCAAGACTCTGAGACGCAGACAGGGGAGTTGAATAGAGAAATCCTAAGGCGGAGCACAGCATCGAATGCTGGGTTCCCAGGTTAGCGGCTCACACACAGAGGACAGATAGAGGAAATGACTGGTGGAGACAATATCTTATCCCAGAAAAGGCTGAGCCATACAAAGGAAAGGAAGGGAGGCTATTCTATGTGAGGATATGACCTTCAATCCTGGTGAAAGAGTCCAGATAAAAATATACACTATTTTGAACTTTTCTTTCAAATGGGCATAATGTTTCTCACCGGGGATGCCTGTGCCCCGGCCTTGCCATGTGTTAGTTGCACAACCCCGTTCCTCTCTGAGCCCACCCGCTGCGGCCCTCTGCAAAGCATCTTAACGCCCAGTAGTGAGAGTTGCCTAACAGCTTCCTGCCTTGGAATTCACCGAAACAAATCTCAGCCTACCCCCAAACTTACACTTTACCTGCCCCCATTCCCACCACATCCTGGACGGGGCTTTCTTTGGACTTACCAGGATCAGGTTTGGGTCAGACTGCTTGGCTCTGACCTGGAGAACCTCTGGGCAACTTACTTGACCTCTCTGGGCCTGTTTCCTCAACACTAAAACGGGGATGGTAAGAGTGCCTACCTTCTAGAGTTGTCATGAGGATTAAATGGGATTCCCAACACTGCCAGGCTGTAATGAAGGCTAAGAGGAGGCCAGCTATTATTACTAATACTTTCTTCCAGGAGGCTGAACGCAGAGGCACAGAATGATTTTCTAAGGGAAACCCCTTTTAGTATCTGCTTGATTGGTACTGAGGCTCTTGTCTTTACTAAAGGGCCTGGACCCTGTTCTTTTCCTGCCGAGATGAAAGAATCCCAGCCCTGGTTGGGAAGGCAGTTTGGATGTATTTGTTTCTGGATCTCTAAGCGAACACCCCAGATTATGGAATCAGTAAGAAGCCAGCTAAATGGGCCACCTGAAGTCACAGGCATCTTTTTGACAGCTTTCGGTCTGAGTGAAGATGGAGACAGATCCAACAGGTAACGAGCACACCATTCCACTGTGATGCTGTCCCCTTCCAGGAGCCAGAAGGAGGCTCAGATTTACACTCCAGAGATGTAACAGGCTGTAACTCTCCCACCGCTTGTCTCTGAAGCCTCACGCCTGACGTAAGACATGCTCTCGGGAAGTGATGGAGGAATACCACAGCTACTTTTCTTTTCCAGTGAAAGGATAAACCACTTCTCAAATCCAAATTACAGCTGTAAACACAATACAGGTCAGCACACAGGCCCCAACCTCTGTACTTACATTTCAGCTTAAGAAATTACTCCTGTTACTTAAAAACAACAAATCGAGGCTGGGTGCAGTGGCTCACGCCTGTAATCCAAGCACTTTGGGAGGTTGAGGTGGGTGGATCACTTGAGCCCAGAGTTTTGAGACCAGCCTGGGCAACAAGGTGGAACCCCTTGTCCACAAAACAAATACAAAAATTAGCTGTGTGTGGAGGCACATTCCTGCAGTCCCAGCCACTCAGGAGGCTGAGAGGTGGGAGGATTGCCTGAGGTCAGGAGTTCCAGGCTGCAGTGAGCCGAGATCAACCACAGCTCTATAGCAGGGGCAATAGAGTGAGACCCCATCTCAAACAATGACGACGACGACAACAACTACCACCCCCAACAAAGCCAAACGCTGAATAGTTAGGAAGATACTACAACTTAACGTGGGGAGAAGAAGACAATTTAGAAAATTAATGTGAAGGAAAACAAATAATTCACAGCAATCTTAAATGCACAATAGAGTTGTGAGCTGACAAAAGGTCATGTAACTGGTTTTGACATTATCTGCTTTGTTGTTTCAACAGTGAATTTATTGGCTCATGCAATCTATTTTTGGACATGGTGTCTTGCTATGTTGCCCAGACTAGATCCAACTCCTGGACACAAGTGATCCTCCTGCCTCAGTCTCCCAAGTAGGTGGAACTACAAGAGCATGCCACTGAGCCTGGATATTATCTGGTTCAGTCTCAAATATTTGAATATTATCTCACAAATGTTTGTCAAGGTTCAAATGGCCTTCCAAGTAGAATACTAAATCAGGAAATACTCTGTATTCCTAAATTCCCGACGACTGTACCTAGGATTGTTTAAAACATAATCATGCTGGTACCCGTGCAACAGCCCCGATATATATATGGCAGACTGTAGACCGTGCCATCAACCAGGTGCCCTGGTAGGCCAGGTCCAGACTCTTGGGAAGTCAGTGGATGGCTGAGTCAGCGGATCTGAGATGATCTTCTCCGCTCTTGCAGGGACAGCAGGGAATCTGACCTACCTCCAAGGCTTCTGGCCCGACATCATTTCCCAGTTCTGGCTGGCTCTCCCCTCCTCGCTGTGACTCCCCTGCTTCTCTATCTCAGGTAGCTCCTCCTCCTTTCTCCAAGCCCTCTCACTTCTTTGCTGCCACTGAAAATACAAATGCTCTTTTCTTTCAAGGGATTTACTGTTAATGTATATAGTGGAATAGTTCAGAAAATGCCTTTCACTAGCAAACGCAAAAAAAGAAAAACAAAATAAAACAAAACAAAGCTACAATTTGTTAGAAAGCCAGTCAAAGTTCTCAGTCTAGTTCAGTGGTTGAGACCAAAGGCTATGGAGACAGACAAACCTGGACTTGCCAGCTGCAAGAACTTGAGCTGCTTAGTCTTTCTAAGGATCAATTTCCTCACTGCCACAGTACGGTACCACTACTACTTTCATCAGAGGGCTGGGGTAAGAATTAAAGGAGAGCACATATGCAAACAACTAGTTCCCATTAGTGTTAGATTTTGGAGAAATCACCTGCTGCTTCCTAGTCCCTGACCTCCTGTCTCGAGCACACCCATGTTGCCACTGTTTATTCCTGCAGATGGGCTTAGCACCATGGCCAGCAGCAGACCATCAGGTGACCTGGTGCAACTCAGAAAGGCATACCCTTCTTTTGGGCAGATCCAGGGCACATGGCTTCCTTGGTCAGGTGTCTTACACAAACTGTCCAACTGTACACAGTGACCCAGTTCCCAACTCTCCTTCCTCCAACACTAAATGACTTCTGTTCCTCAATGACCTGAGCTAGGCTTAGCACTCAGGTAAAAGAAGCCCTGTCTGAGTAAGGTGGTAGAAATGGGGGACCACCCTTTTCGCAGCTCCTCCCTCTTTTTTTTTTTTTTTTTTGCCTATCACCCAGCCTGGAGTGCAGTGGTATGATCATAGCTCACCACAGCCTCACCTAACTAAGCTCAAGGGATCATTCCACTTCAGCCTTCTAAGTAGCTGGAACTATAGGCATATGCCACCATGACTGGCTATTTAAATATTTTTTTTTTTTTTTGTAGAGACCAGTTCTCACAACGTTGCCCAGGCTAGTCTCAAACTCCAGGCTTCACACGATCATCCTGCCTTGGCCTCTCAACGCACTGGGACTACAGGTGTGAACCACCGTGCTCACCACCACCGTTTTTTATACCCAGACCATGAAGTAGGAAGTGATGCTCTGTTTTCTTCCGGATGGGCTCTAGGTCGCACCCTCTGGTCCCTCTTCTCCACATGATGTCCTGCCTAGGCTCCCTGGCTCCTCTGCCAGAGCTGGATCGTCAGTTCACCTTATGAAGCAACAGGAAGAGAGACCCACTGTGGCCTCAGCTACAGGCCAGGCAGAGGACACAACCCAGGAAGAATGAAGTCAGTGTTCTGCTTGCCACCTAACTCCTACATCAGAATCAACTGGCCCCTCAACAGGGGCTGAATCTGGAACAAAGCAGAGGTCCCTTGATCCTACAATTTCTCAAACTTCTCCTATCAAGCCTAATATCAAGAATTATCCCACAATTTCTCAAACTTCTCATATCAAGCCTCTGTTTTCAGGAGGTTAAAACAAATTAATCAGTGAGACTCCCAAGAAACAAATGTTATCCAGCTGTGAACCATGAGGACCCAATGACAGGTGACCCAGCAGCCTGGCCTGCAGTAAACAGAGTGGAGAGATCAAATCTAAATGCTTCGTCTTGGAAAAATTAGCAGCAGCCACCTACTGAAGAATATTTCTCTCCTTGCATCAAGGGCCTGCTAACCTCTGCCCAGCCTTTCTACCTCATGTGTAACACTTCAACTACATAGCGAGCTATCCTCCGCCACGCTGAGAGGTGACAGCGCTTCTGGGAATCAGATTAGAGAACACGATCGTTTGTGACCCAGCATCAGCGGGCCTGGCAGTTTCCTAGTTGATCGTATCCTGGGCCCCTCAAGGCAGGGGAGCTAGCCACCATCACCACCCTCCTCCACGCAGTGTTGAATCCGTGCTACTGAAGGCTAGCTAAGATATCATTCTGCTGCGACCGGCCTTCCCATTTTTAAATTCAGTAGCACACGAGGGCCATGGCTGCCTATAGCTAGAATGTGTGTGGTTCGGTATTTACAGTTCCACTGTCCCAGAAAGTTTCCAGCTGGCTAGCTTGTAGCCATTTCCCCCATCTAGGTGCGCTGGCCTTCACTTTACCCCCACCACCCCACCCCCAATTCATCCAGGCGCGCCAGGCGCAGAGGCGACTGCAGAGAAAGGGGACAGGGAGGAGACCTAGTCAGACCCCACTCTAACTGTTTCTCAAGACATTCTCCTCATGCATTTGCTCTCCCGGGGAAAGAGCGAAGTGTGGGATGACTCATAGTGGCTAGATCGTTGCTCTAACTCCTCCCTTCTTTTGTGTGTGGTTAAAAAAAAGAAAAAAGAAAAACACACACGCAGCCCACAGCCACAACATCAACAAGACCAGAACCCCGCAGAGTTCGCAGGAGGTGGGCAGTGGCTGCGCCACCTGCTCGGCTTCCCCAAACTCCGAGCCCACGCCAGGAAGTGGCGGCTCGGTGGCCCCGGGCGTCCGGGCCGGTGGCCCCGCGCTCCCGCCGCTCAGCCCTGCAGCCGAGCGTGTAGTAGCAGTCGCTCGCAGCACGGCGGGGGAGCAGCCGCGAAACCCAGGGCAGGCGGCCAAGCGGCCCGGCTGTGCCCAGCCATCTCCTGCGCCGTGGCCAGCTGGCGGCCAGGCGCGGGGCCCCGCGGCCAGATGGCCGCTCCGGGAATGCGCTGCAGGCGCCGGGTGCGCCCGGGCCGAGGGAGCGCCCGCTCGGCTGAGCCGGCAGGGACTGGGGCGGCGACCTCTGCCCGGGCGAAGGAGCGAAGGGGCCCGAGCGCGTCGCGGGCAGGCGGGGCGCGCACCCTCCACGTCGCGCCCTTTGTCCCGAGTGCGGCTCACACCGGGGCTCGCGTCGTCCGTGACCCCGGCCCCGGCCGCAGCCCGGGTCCCGGAACCAACTCCTCCAGCAGCGCCCCCGGGCCCGAGCCGCCGTGCGGGGCTCGGGACTCGGCAGCAGCGGGCAGCCGGCACCCGTTCCGCGTCCAACTCCGCTCGCCCCTCAGCGCGCTCGGCCCTGCAGGGGCCGCCCCGCGCGTTACCTGCAAGGAGCCCGAGCCGCGACCGCATCTCCCTCCCGGGTGCGGAAACTCCGGCGGCGCCGGGAGCCCGCCCGGACCTGGCAGGGGGAGGGGCTGCCTGCGCACCACCCCCCGCCGCGCCCCCGCCCCCTGCGCCGCACCGCCCGCGGCTCCCCACGAGCGCGGGCGCCCCCGAACCCCCGTCTCGGCCCGCCCTCTCCACCTGACCATTGGCTGCTGCTCCCGTCACTTTCAGGCCGCAACCCGGTCCCTCCTCAGCTGATTGGTGGACGCGCCGGTGACGTCAGGCCAGGGGGCGCTAGTCGGCGGCGAAGGAGGTGCCGGGACGGACGGACCCGGCGGTAGAGGAGGAAGCCGAGTTGTGGGCGCGGAGCTGAGGCGGGGCCGGGGCGGGAAGGGGCGGCCCCTACCGGGCCGGGCGAAGCGGGCTGCGGGAGCCGGAGCAGGCCCTCCGTTTTTCTCCGCGGTCCGCGCGCGGGACCCTATTTCTGGCTGTCTCGCGCTTCGCCTGCGCTGTGGTCCCCGCGGAACAGCAGCGTCCCCGCGGAACTGCCCGAACTCCACTTCTTCCTGTCCCGGAGGAGTTGTTTAAAACGTGCGTGTCTCCACCTTCTGCTTCTCACAGCAGAACTGACTGAAGCCGTGTCCTTCCTGCCGAGGCCATGCTGCCGCATGAACCCTGCTGCGGCCAGAGCCACCCAGCGCGCGCCCACTCACCACAGGCTGCAGCCGCTTGGTCCCGAACCTCCACTCCCACCCGAGTGGCCGCCACACCCCCCACACTCCCACTCTCAGATGTGTTTGCCGCCTGCTTCAGGAAAAAAGAGAAACTGATTCCACTTTCCTCCGGCGAAACTGCACACCTGTTCCCTCCTCTCATCACCGAGCCCCCCCGGCCCCCGCTTCCGTTTTTCCGGTATCGCAGAATCCGATCCATTGCTCCCTGTGGACTGGAATCCGCATCCTCGGCATTTCACCATTCTCAAGACTCTCTACTCCACGTACCCTTTCAGCTGCCGCCGTCTCCTACTTTCCATCGCTGAAGTTGGTGAAGGAGGCGCCCCAGTTTTTTTGGTTTCTCAACTCCAGTCACGTGTTCGTTTTCACACTCAGTGAAATTGCCTTTTTAATGGTCGCCAGTAACATCCGCATCACTAAAGCCAAAGGACACTTTACTTTCTCATGTTATTTGATCTGAGCAAAATTCCTTTTTCCTTCTTGAAACTCGTCTTCCCTGTGGCGGGAGGGTGCTCCACTTTCCTCTCTGTCCCCAGTCTTGGCGCGCTTATCTGCTTTGGATGATCTGCAAATAACAGAGTTTTCAAGGTCTCACACCTTTTCTCTTACTCCACAATTTTTCCCTGAATGATTTAACCTGCCGTCAACACTTAAATCAGTATATAACAAATTGACCACCCACCTTTTGCTCCTCTGAGCTCCAAACCCGTTTATCTAGCTTCCTATTCAGCTACTCCTCCTGCATGTGTCATGAGCATCTCAAATGGAACCCATCCGAAGCTGAATGCATGCATTTTCTGCTTGCTCTCAACTTCCTGTCTCCTGGTGATAGTGAAGACACCACCATCCATTCAGTGTTTCCCAAACTCTGCCTTCACCCAGGCATCTAACAAATCGCCCAGACTCTGCTTCTTAAATATTTCTGAAGTCTGTCCACTTTCTTCCATTTCCTGTATTACATTTCGTGATGTACTTATTGCACATGCGTCTTTCCGGCCCACACTCAGTGATGTCTCATTGGTAGAATGTAATGGACCATGGTGGAAGTATTTACACCGTGGAAATTAGCCAACATTGTGAACCATAAATCAGGGATTGATTTGTTTTGTTGATGGTCTCTAGACTTAAGAAAGTGATGGGGAAAATGTTAATAATGCAGATTAAACTTAAAAATGTGTTGCGCTTAGTACTGAAACAAAAATATTGCAGTTTAATGAGTTTATACAAGATTAAGAAGTAGTTTAACAGACCACGTATCAGATTTTAAGGACAATAAATTTGTTGGCAAAAAGGAGATCGGTATGCAATTTCACTAGTCACTTCATGGTTGGATTACAAGCATTGGATGGATTCAGACACAAGCCTTTGGCAAAAAGGAACCAAAGCTTTCTGTGAGAATCAGTCAAGATAGAACTGACAATAAAGAGTATCTGCCTATTTTTTTAAAAGAAGTTTGTGTATTGTTTATTACACATTCTTTTTATCAGAAACATTTATAATAAATATGTATTTGTATATATGGGCACATATTTTGATTTCCCCCAGTGAGTCAGCTGTTGGACATTTACCAGCACACTGCTGACTGACAGAATCACCAGTGCCTGGTGGAAATAAAAACCAGATGAAATTTTAGTCAGTTTCAATATTGTCAACGCTCTGTAGACAACGCACCCCTTATCCCTTATTTCCTGCCCCAGGATGGTTTGCCCCCTCTGTGGCCCCTCTTGATAGGCCTCTGCTTCCCAGTACTCTTAGACTGAAGGTCTCAATCTTTCATGATCTGCAGTGCCACAGCACGATCAGGCCCCTTTCCTGCTACTCCTGAGTCATCCCATGCCTCTCTCTGCTGCATTCCCTAGGCCCCAGCTGTGTTGGCCATCTTGTGTCCTCCAGTATGCTCTGTGCTCCTTTCCATCCTGGGCTGTGCACATGCACCTGCAGCGCTCCCTCCTACCCTCCTCCACCACACCTGGCTACCTCCATCCAGTTCAGAGGTCTCCAACTCCCCAGGGCCACAGTTGGGTACTTGTTTATGGCTTGTTAGGAACCCGGCAGCACAGCAGGAAGTGAACTGGCCAACAGAGCAGTGCCATCTGAGCTCTGCCTCCCGTCAGATCAGCAACAGCACTAGATTTTCACTGGAGTAGGAACCCTGCTGTGACCTGTGCATGGGATGGATCTAGGTTGGAGTTCCTTAGGAGAATCTAACGAATGCCTGATGATCTGAGGTGGAACAGCTTCATCCCGAAACCATCGCCCCAACTCCCTCAGTGGAAAAATTGTCTTCCATGAAAGTGGTCCTTGTTGCCAAAAGGTTGGGGACCAAGCTTTCGCTGCCTTAATTCATTCTTCAGATTGCTATTCAAGTGTCATCTCCTCTGAAAACCCTGAATTATCGACCCCAACACCTGTAGGTCCATCTGTGTATACTCTCATATCTCTTATTAAAACTGTAATTAACTGACAGTGTGGCCATTTGTATAAAGTCTATCTCCAACTTCTTCACTAGACTGTAAGTTCCATGAAGGCAAGAACCATGACTGTGTAGTTAAATCCTGCACCCCTGCAGCTACTGTGCCTACCACATAGCAGGCATTCAACAGGGTCTCTTCTAGAGAAGCTCAACTCTTAAAGTCACGTTATATGTTATTGACAAAACTGGAATTAGAATTGGAGTCTCCTGACTTTATCCAATATTCTTCTGTTCTGTAAATTGAGGAGCCAGCCATGACCAAAATGATATAACCCTATGTGCCAAGAACAGGGACAGGCTCTGTGGAGGAGATGAAGGTAAGCATGACACTGATTCTACCTCTTACAATCTTATGGTTTAGTAAGAAGGATGAGACACAGCAAAAATTTCCCTATTCCTGCTCCCCTACACTGACCACAACCCCTTGCCCCCATCATGCCTTCTGCATGTGACAGCAACCCCCAGCCCCTTGGACAGGAGCTCTGGGGTTGCTGTCACACATGGAAGGCAAGATGCTGGTGGACCACTCAGTGTGCTCCAGCATTGAGCTTGTGTTATTTAATTCTCACAAAAGTTCCGGCTAGGCATGGTGGCTCACACCTGTAATCCCAACACTTTGGGAGGCCGAGGCGGGCAGATCACTTGAGGTCAGGATTTCAAGACCAGCCTGGCCAACATGGTGAAACCCCATCTCTACTAAAACTACAAAAAAAAAAAATTAGCTGGGGGTGGGGGGTGGTGGGCACCTGTTATCCCAGCTACTTGGGAGGCTGAGGCAGGAGAATCGCTTGAACTTGGAAGGTGGAGGTTGCAGTGACTCAAGATGGCACCACTGCACTCCAGCCTGGGTGACACAGCAAGAACTTTGTCTCAAAAACAAAACAAAACAAAACAAAATGCAAAAAACCAAAAATACAAAAGACTTCTGTCAAGTGCATATCATTATCCTCATCCTACAAATGAGGAAGGAAGCACAGAGGTCCAGGGTCAAACAGCCGGTACATTACTCAATGAAGCCAAGACTGGGCACACAACTAAGGGATGAAGTCAGAGAGTTAAAGAACCTCCCACCTGCCTAATAAGGTTATGTTGGACTGGAAAGAACTGGAACAAAGAAGAGGGTACATATTGTCTCATCTCCCTATACCTTCTCCCTTGTGAAGAGCAGATGTCAAAAATTGTTGGGGGGAGATGAGCCCTTTGAGCCTTTTGAAGATAACTGCTTTTAGTTAGTTTGGTTGCAGTTTTGGGGTGGTTGAAATGATTTGGTGTCTGGGAAGTCTCTGGGCTATGAAATGTGCACACAAGGTGCACCATAGTTTGTATGAATACAGCCCCCTGGAGTTGTGCAGGGCACAGCTCTCCCAGGTGTACACAGCTTCCCTGGACTTGGAGGACTCCTTTCAGGAGATCCCCTCAGCCGTAGGAGAATATAAGGGGACTCTCAAGTTTCCGTCTTGCTTGCCACCTCTGTTCACCAGATAGAACTTTCATCAAGGAACACATGTCCACTAGACTGCAGCAACAACTCTCACAGTATTCTAACGGAGACTAAAATGTGGTCGCTGGTCAAGGAATACCTCAACACTTGTCCTTAAAAAATGTGCAATCTAGGGAGAAAGGTAGAACACATAAACAACCTGTATGACATAAGACTAAATGATAAATACTGTAAACGGAGCACTAGAGAAAATAGCTCAGATGACAGAGTGGTCATTTTCTACAGAACTGACATAAGAAGGTATAAAATTTGAGCTAAGTCTTGAGGTATGATGTGACATCAGAGTAGTTAGCTGCTATGAACAATGCTAACTCTCAGTGACTAAGCCTGATCAAGTTTCCTTTCTCATGTCCTAGCCAAGCACAGTCTGCTCCATACAGTCATTC